TATGCATCACCGTTATCAAATGGATATTGGTATTACATGCACGCTTCCAGGTTCGAAAATATAGTTTTTTCAAACCTTGCATGTATTTAGTTTAATTTTGATATATATTTTTTTAATAATTGGAACAGTGTTGGAAAAGTTCACCAAAACTCACTATGACTCGCGAACTTTTCCCTTGGTGAACTTTGTGAAATATCGCGATCTTTTCCAACGCTGAATTGGAAAGCTCTCACCATATTTTACTCTTTCGCCGTCGTTGATTACTTCTTTTGGAATCCCTTGGACTTTTTCTCTTCGTATGTCATTCCGTGCTTCACCGGAAATTTCCTTCCGTAGATCGTCCTTGGTTGGTTCTAATATGATGCCGCCTTTTTTGGTCGGTTTCATTGAATTGAATTGAATTTCCATGGTGATCTGGGACGAGGCTCACGTCCAAAGTCGCTGTTTCACCGAGCGCTCCGTGTGCGAAAAGAGAATGGAAGAAATACGAAAGGGATCAGTTTCAAGAAGTGACAGTCAAGTCATAGTCAAGTGATAGTCAAGCAAGGTAAGAATATTCAAACTATATTGCGACTTTATGGTTACTAGGGTACACACATCGCCATCAGAATGGTTCATCGGTTGCGAAGTGAAATATTTCTGAAAGTGATGCGTTATATTTCTCAATGTTTTGATTTTATCCTAACGTTACCTCCATGTTATATCACAGACAAGCAGATACAACACATTGAACATGTATCATTGTAAACTGTACCGCCATCTGTCGTATATACTTTGATGGGCAATACACTCAACAGATGGTTGTAGTGTGTAAACGTCAAACGCTAGGGAATTGATTATGTGCACCACAAGTGGCGGTACTACCAACTAAGAAACATTTAAATTGACCGTTAAAAACGATTTCAATGAAGGTTTTAAAAGTGTTATGTCTGCTTGTCTGTGATTATACCTTCACTATCGCAACTTCGGGTAATCTGCGAAAGTATTTGCATTTTTCTCAGGCACTTTTGATCTAACTGTAATTACACTCTCATACTCGAAATGTGCCACGACCAAATTGGCACAACGATGCTCTCTGACCGAAGCGCAGGGTGGTATTACATACAAACTTCCTGGTTTGAAAAATATTCTTTTCAAACCTGGCACGTATTAAGATTAATTTTGATATTTTATTGTAAAGAATATTTGGACAGCTCTCACCACCGCTCACCCAAACCGTTGACTGTTTTTTGGAACCCCTTGTACTTTTTCTTTCTAACGCTTCGTATTCCTCCAGTAAGCATCACTGCTAGCCTCCCGAAAGCCTTCCACGTCATTTCTAAAGTGTTCCACGACATTTTGACGTAAGTCTTTAATTATTGTATGATGACTTTCTGTTTTTGGAACCACGACGCCGAAATTATACACAACACGAGCCAATACGAGCAATCAGCCGGCAATTCAACAACTTCTTTTAAATGTTCGACTTCAATGTATCAGCTGACGTGTTTCGTCATCGGTTGCTTGGCCTTTTCCGTACCGTTGACCGTAACTATTTAGTTTAAGTTTTATTCATGTAGACAATAATTGCCAGTTGAATTTTTCAATACACAAATAAACAAATAAAATCAATGATCTTGTTTTCCTAGTTGCTTCATATAAAACTGTAACATCAGTGCGAAAAATAGACACTGCCCATCTCCGGGGATATTTTTTTTTACCGATCATCACTCCATTGTCATATCACATGTGCTCTATTTTGCTGCTCTCTTTCATTTTTACTATGTATATATTTTTTTTTTTCATGATTTGTTTTCCATCGATCTTGTTTTTCGCACTGAGTGCCAATGCTACCGACGCCAGGGAGGAGATGGACACCTGCCCCCATTATCTCATAAACCGGGAACCAACGGCTTTACTTCCCTGTTCCCTGATGTTATGCCTCAGAAAATCCCGACGGCACCGACTAGGATTGAATCCAGGCTTTTTAAGATGAGAGGCAATCACGCTTACCACTACATCACCAGCGCTGCTTGGAAAATATATAGACATATAGATTATTAGCAATGCTGTGCTATAATCACAGCGGGACGGCCGTTTAAAATGGTTCAACGGATGTGAAATGAGGGAACATTTAAATTTAACACAATTCTAAGAATTTCAAAGCAACATTAATTTTTTTTTTCACCGGCGCCGGTGGTGTAGTGGTAAGCGTGACAGCTTTCTAACACCCCAATGGGTCTGGGTTCAATCCCAGCCGAGGTCGGTGGGATTTTTCTGAGACATAAAAATCTCTGGTCACGTCTTCCTTCGGAAGGGAAGTAAAGCCGTTGGTCCCGGCCCATGTGTGTTGAATGGGTGCGATATCCTACGCAGGTGTGGAAGCTGCCTTCCTGCACATTCGATTGCCGTCAATGGATGGCAATCGATGTCCGTCGGTGATTGGCACTAGATTGCGGAACAGAGACCGACGTTAAATAAAAGAATGAAGATTATTTTTTTTTCACTCCAGCAATATTTAATAATAATATTTTTTTCACAAAATCATGAACATCCATAACATTAATTACTTTGTACACACTTAGAAATATCTACTCATAAACGAGACGTAATCCATATTGAACGTAAATGGTGAAACGTAAACAAACATTTCATGCAAAATTAAGTGTTCTCAAACCGAAACATAAGCATGTCGACGAAGAGAACGTTTGATTGAATTGATTTTTTCGTTCTTTTCAACTCATTCTTTTGTCAAATGGTCGGTCTCAGGGAACCGAAGTTTAGTTTTTCGTAGTCTGTATGTCTGGTTGAAGAATGAATTTATTTTACCCTGCAACAATGTTGAATGTAACAAACTACGTAACTACAGCGCCACCTAGAGCCGCGAATGTGAAAGTGGCTCGTTCCCCCATACATTTTGTCGATTTTTTCCCATACAAACTTCAAGCCCTTTGAGCGATGGGTTCCCGTGAACCAAATTACTTCAAATTTTGAAAAGGGTGTATCTGACCCCCCAAATTACCATTCCAGGGAAAAGCGTTTGAAAATCCAGGATTGATCTATTTTGAAACACTCTACTGGGCATAGAGTATGATTTTACTTGCCACACAATTATACTAATGCAAAAATGTTACAGGCCTAAAAAAATCCCAATTAACAGATGTGAAAATGCTCAAAGGAAACTAATTAGATCACTGGCGTACAGACTCAGTCCTCACTTATAAGTTAAATATTGTGTAAAGAAGACGTAATAATTAATATAAAAAATAATAAATCCAGGTTAACGAACTGTCGTGCACTCGGATCGTTACGGTATCAATCATTTAAATCAATAAGTAAAGCAGAAAGGTTTATGCCGCCAAGCCAATAACAAAAGATAAAGTCGACGAAGATAATTCGTGAATGCAGATTGAACCTTTAGCATTAGTTGCTTTTTTTTTCACCCCACTACAACGTTAAGTTAATTTCAAAATCACCTCTCATGACTCTCATAGAGTTAAGTTTGTTCATAGTTTTTAATGACTTCATGAATCATGCGCTTGAAGGATTATTTCTAAAGCAATAAATTAAGTAAAATTTATAAAAAAGCACACTCCTATAAAAGCTTGAGTAACTGTAAACTCAGGTAAATGCACGAGGTACATATTTTCAGCAAAATCACTAAAAGAAGCATGCATTCATCATTAGCCTAAATGATTACCTTTGTCATCACAAAAAAAAAATAGACTTAATGTATCTTTTGTTCGATGTTTTTCGGAGGCGTTAGACGAAATCAAAAAAGCAATATTTTGCCTAAAACAAAACGCCTCCTAGAGCCTAGAAGACCCAGAAGACAATATGGTCCATTACATTGCAATTTTCCAGGTAATCAAAACATCATTAGTTGACTTGACGGTTAACAATAAGAGAGGTAGCTGGGAAAGTGTTCGTTTCAGAAAACATGAACGATTCATACACTTAGATACGAATGAACTTTCATAGTAATGTTTTTATTCATTTTCCTGTGTCACAATTATTCGTTTTACTAATCACAAATGCTCAGTCAGTTTATTGTTTTTCAGTTAATTCGAAAATTCTGCTGAATTGCAATGAACTCGCTTTGATTTAAAACAGTAAAGTACACGAATATTTAATTCGTAATTGTAACACCCTATGAGAACCCAATCCGTTATCCTCTTCGATTTCAATCAAACCGTGACCCATTAGTCAATTTTCGCCAAATAGGAACCCACTCCAATCTTTGAACAGGGCAAACTGACATAACGACTGTCGTCACCCGCACGACACCCGCTTCCAAGTGTCCTAGTTCGCTTTATTTGCATAAAAAGGCAGCCATTGACGAAAAACAGCGTTGGAAGGAGATTAAGCTCTAACGGCACGGTGACACGTGTGCCTCTTATGGTTCTTCCACACTCAAATCCTTGATTGGATAAATCTCGACGCCGTTCGACGCTCTGTGGTCAACGACGATGGTTGTTGTTACTGTAGGAGGGATGAAAAATTTCCCTCGCAACTTCGCGGCATATATTTATTTTTTATTATTTTCCTTTCGAGTCGAAAAATCATTTCTCACCAGCCAGACTGTTGTTCCCTTAATTCACCCTCCGGGTATAACCGTAATAGATACAACCCTAAGTACAATTAATCGAGGGCAGAGCGGTATGGCATTTTGTACCTACACATCGTCCTTATTTTGTGAATGATAGTAACAACCACACCCGACAGGATCATCAATCGGAATGAACTGCTGCTCTCTGCATGTGTGTGAGATTACGAATGAACGCGGTGGGAATGGAATGAGATGAAACGAATGAAAATTATACAGGAGGGAAAGTAAGCAGTCAGCAAGGACCGCCTCTCGTTATCCTGCCTGTGCTTGTATGAGTTCGCGCTTGTTTGAGGTCCTTGGAGGCTGCACCCAATCAGAGAAGAGTATTTGTGTGCAATATGCGTTCGGCGTTAAGTTGAAAAGAACCTTCTTAAAACTGCCCGACTTCCATTGAAACTGGATCAAACCGAGTCAAGCTCTCAATGGAGAACCATCCCGTGCCGGTAAAAACACATTAAGGATTATAATTGTAGTGCGGTTGAAAAGTGCGAAGTAATTATCAGTGAACGTTAGAACAATCAAATGATTTTGACAGCAATACATTTGTGAACAAAGACATTAACGGAACATTGTAGTGAACAAATACTGTTAACAAGTGAAAAGGATAAGTTGTGACAATGCAATCCCCAGTCAGTTCCCCAGAGCTGATGGATCCTCGATACAGTCATTTAAGGATTCCTGCTTCATCGAGTAAGTGTTTTAAATAATTATGAATCAATGCATTTTAAATTGATTGCATATAACTACTGTTTGTATTACTACATATGGTTGACGGTGACAATTCAAGAAATTATTTTCCATTTGTAATTAAATATCATAATAAATAGACGTCAATGATTCGTTTTCAAGATTTTTGCATAATATAATTATTATATTAACAATGTTTTGAAACTTCAAAGAAATACTCTGCGATTACCATTAATGACTTCTGATTTCAGATTATTGAGTCTGATTAGTCACAACAAAATGTAGGACAAAATTTGGAACTGCAGCAATTCTTTTATTTTGAGACAAGTAAAAAAAAAACATTAAACGTAAGATTTAATAACGAAATTTTATAAGAACGAGAATAAAAACTCATAATTGATCATTACACATAGTGTTCAAACATGTTTTGTAGAAGTTATATAATTTTTTTGTTGTTGTTACCAATGAATTCCTGGAACAAAATCATCTTGAAATAAGCTTTTTAAGAAGAAGTTAATAATTTCTGATGATAACTTTGTTTCAATTAAGCTGCGAATGATAAATTCTGCATTCATTGAAATCGAACAGTATTCCATAACTACATTGTTAATATTAATCGAAAAAAAATCATAATGAAATCTTCCAAGGTCTTTAGTGATCAAAACGTAAACAAAGTTCTTCAAATCACTCAGTATCCGTTTTGAAATAACATTCATCAGTTTGTCATATCGACCTCTTCAGTTCAAGATCACAAACAACAGAAAGAACCACATACGGCAGAAATGAGCAATCATTGTGCCTTTCTCGGTATGAATATGAAAACATTTCCGGTCTTTTGTTCGCGCTCCCGGTTTCTCACACTACAGCATAATTGCACTCCAACCAGTTGAAAGAAAAGGCGGATCTTGCAATCCGACTCCCGGATGTCCTTTTCGATGCCTTTTGACTGATGGTTAACGACTATTTCTAACGGATTTTTTCTTATTTTTCTGTTATCTTCCAGGCCGCATTTTGTACGACGTCCCCTGCAAGGTATGCCGTGATCATAGCTCTGGCAAACACTACGGAATATACGCGTGTGACGGTTGCGCTGGCTTCTTCAAGCGATCGATCCGCCGAAGTCGGCAGTACGTATGCAAATCAAAATCCGAGATACCGTGCATGGTTGATAAAACTCATCGCAATCAATGCCGGGCTTGTCGGTTGAAGAAATGCTTCGAGGTTGGCATGAACAAAGACGCTGTACAGCATGAACGAGGACCCCGGAGCTCAACCCTGCGTAAACAGATGGCACTTTTCATCGCCAAGGATACACCTTTGCGGCATGAGCTGATGATTCCACCACCACTTCCAATGGGACAATCAACGATGGGTCTTGATCTCAGCATCCAAAGGAATGCCTACTTTAGTCCACAATCCATGGTACATCCAACATTATTCCCAGCTATGCAATCACCTCACCCATTGATTGCTGCCGATGCCATTCGAGAATCAGCCGCACAGCTTCTGTTCATGAACGTCAATTTCCTGAAAAATTTAGTCCCATTCACGAAACTACCGCTCGACGATCAGTTGATTCTTTTTGAAGAATCTTGGCGAGAGTTCTTTATCCTAGCCGTCGCACAATATCTGCTACCGATCAACTTCAATCACCTACTAATAGCCTACGAGTACCTGAACAATAACCGAGGTGAATCCATACCCGAATGCATAATCCGAGAAGTCGAAATCTTCCAAGAAATTCTCACTCAAATCGTTGCGTTGCGAGTGGACACCAACGAGTTCGTCTACCTTCGGGCGGTTGTTCTCTACAAAACAGAATTTGATCCAGAAAGCAGCATCTCCAGCAGCAGCAGTGACGGATCGGATATCATTTCTTCAACATCTAAATCAATCCAGGAAATAGCCACCGTCCGGGCTTTGGAAGATGGCGCCAAAGATGCTCTGGCTACCTACGTAAGAACGTGCCGACCTGTACCGTCCGATCGTTATCGCCTTTTGCTACAGTTATTACCTGTACTGAGAAACGTTTCAACCTACACCATTGAAGAACTTTTCTTCCGAAGAAATATTGGCCCCGCTCCACTGCTCAAACTATTGCTTGATTTCTATAGGCAGAAATAGCTCAACGCTCTGTTTCATCAACGATCTGATCCTGGATGATTAGATCGCTAAATTGACTGTGATTGATTTGTGTAAATAACATTTTGAAAATCTTAAATTGAATCAAAACCCTTTAATAATATAATGATAAATATTCGTAAAAACCTTCAGTGGTATTGTTATATTAGCGCAATTTAAAAATAGTTGCTAAATAAAAGTGATTGAACAAAACAAACAAAAATTTATTTTTTTTTACACACTGCCCAAATGTCTATGCAAAAGGATTACAAATCCTAATGAACGGTAATTTGCAGCAAAATCCTCTGAAGCTGATGCCGACGGATTTCCAGAATGGAAAAAATACAGCTACGTTTTCATTCATTCTAGCTTCCCTACAAACAGCAAAGCCGCCATACTGGCTTAGGCCCTCACTTTTTTTTTTGCTTCATTGTTGAATAATCCTCTCAATGATGATGATGGCTTTCTGTGACGGTGTTCGTCTCACTCTAACGCATTGAAATCTCTGCCTAGGACCGACTTACGATATCAGTCAGGATCAGAGGCAAGGATATTTTGCTTTCTGTTTGCGTCTATCTCGTTCCCCTATCTTCACCATGTGTCTTTGCAAGAGAAGCGCCTAACTGACTGCAGCCGAAATAGACGCACTCCCTTGCCATGAATAATAGGGTCCCTACTGCCGATTCAAACCACGTGACATTTAAGGGTGGAATAAAAATACACATGTAGTAGCATGTATGCTACTGAAAGAATATTTGAATAATGTTCTTAAGATCAGTCTTCATAGGTTGATAAGTTCTAGTTGTCGCATCAATTGTTATGCCTAATTCTAAAGTTAGGTGACCTAATAGTCAATTCGAGGTTTATGCAATGTCTGTTCCTATTTTTTTTTTAATTCTAAAAAAATCCAGATCCTTCCAACCTTAACTACACACACTCTGAAATTGAAGCAGAATTCAATAATGGTATGCGATATTTCGAATCAGATCACTTATTTCGCACGATCTGAATGTTATGAATTCTCGTAAGGCTCTTACTTTTAGGGACCATGAGTGGTTATTATACGCCTTTATTAATTAATTCATTCAAGGATTCTGCACACCGAGTTTGTAGTGATGGAAAAAACGTGAAATACTTCCATCCTGAGCAGCTGCTTGCTTTTGCTTTAACCTGGGCTGAAGTCAAATTTTGTGACGACTTCAATTCGTTGTCTTTAATTGTTGGTTTCAAATTTAGGAGACAGTTTTGGTTGTCCTAACGTATGCTATTCCCGTGATATGGGGGCTTCCGAGGATTGATATCTCATATTCAACCGCTGGATCCCAGTCACACGCATCAAGAGAAGTGGGCATAGGTACTCATAGCGGTACCAATACCCAGCTTCCCAGCCTCGTATCCTTCGAACTTCCTGGAAGCTTAGGAAAATTTCGTTTAATTTTAGGGACCTACCCAGATGTTAAGGAATATTTGTACAAAATGTTGAGGATCTTCCCAGACTTCTAAAAGGCGCAGCTACAAAGCAAGACCATGCTGGAGGTGGCTGGGTTCGATTCCCGGTCCGGTCTAGGAATTTTTTGAGTTAGAAAATTTCTCGACTTCCCTAGGCATTGAGTATGATTGTACTTGCCACACAATTGTACTAATGCAGAAATGGTACAGACATCGAAAGCTCTCAATTAATAACTGTGGAAGTGCATCTAGAACACTAACTTGAGAGCACGCAATAAGCTAATATGCGATATGTAATAAGCTTGAAATGCGAAGAAGAAGAAGAAGCAAGACGAGCGAACGTTCAATATAAATTAACTCTTAAACAGTAATAATTTATGGTTTTCCTGAAAAGAACTGTTATGTCGTGATGGTTGAGTAATGCTGAGCTATTAGGGTGTTCAACTGGCTGGCGAGCTGCATGTTGTTTGGAACGACGGTGACGCGCTTGGCATATAAGGCCCACAGCGACTAACGAAGAGCTACGGAATCCGATCAGCTGTGAGGGCAGCCTTGATAGCTACCTACTTGCGAGCAGCTTGTCCTTGTGTACTGGAAAACATCACCGCTCACCACACGCGGTGGTTGAATGAACACCGTTAGGTGAGACCGGATGGAATTCAATTTTGAAATCTGTGTTAGGGAAAGTGATTTTCACAGGCAATCGGTGATAATTTTAACTAGTATAGCAACAGTTCCACATACGTGCAAATTTCAACAGTTCCATTTTGAAAAATGATAAAGTCTTAATTTTAACAGATTCGTAGCTATCGATTGGATCATTAAGAATTAAAATCCATTTGGATAAAAATCAGACAACTTTCATGACACGACCGACTTTGGTTTTTAAAATTGCACCCCCAATGTTGCCTTAAAAATACATGGTTTGTTAGATTTTAACATATGGGAACTGACATCCGATTGATTACTTTGACAAATGTCCTGAAAAACCACTTTAAAAAATTTATGGCGTTCCTGAAAAGAACCGTTTTGTCGTGATGTTTGAGTAATGCTGAGCCATTAGGGTTTTCAACGCAAAGGAGGCTGGCGAGCTGCATGTTGTTTGGAACGACGGTGACGCGCTTGGCATAGATGGCTCACAGCGACTAACGAAGAGCTACTGATTCCGATCAATAGCGGTGCGGCTTCGTAATTCTCCGGTAAATGGACGCTCATGTGGCCTTTCGTTGTGTACTAGAGAACAATGTCTAACGCCACGCGCCGAAAGCACTGTTGCTGCTGCTGCTGATAATGACGACCGACCGGATACCACCACACACGGTGATACACGGTACAGTATATGTGTTATGTAATTTTCAAAAGTAACGTATTGAAAATCAATAAAGTGTTCATTCTAGCAGATTTGAAGGCAAAATTCCAATCGATTGACTTGTTTCGATCTAAAATTCATCCGCTTTTGACAGATTTATATGTGATTAAAACCTGACCACTTTTCGTAATGCGGTCGATTTTTTTTTTTTTTAATTGCACCCCCAATATGTTGCCGAAAGACGTAATCCTACGTCAAAATTACGCTGAAGACATAAATTCATAGAACTGCTTTGTTTCGGAGGTATTAATTTAACCCCGAAAAATTACAAACCTGGCCCACTGTGTCAGATACTTATTATTACTAAGCAACTATAATTTCTCATATAATTGCTGGTTTGTTAATCGCGAAATTTGCTTCTTTTATATAAATATATCGTCTACTTTGCAACATATTAAATATTTATAATAATTCTGAACGATACTAAGAGACCATGATAAAATTTACGTGCTATTTTTAACACGGTTTATTGAAGTGTCCGTGACTAAGTGTCCACCAAGCAATACCGTATGTGCTATTTTGTTTCAAAATGTAAAAAAAAAACTTTCAAACTGTTCAGGTGGGTGCTGAAATATAGTCCGGCCATTCGACCAAATGCCGTTTGGCAGAATGCCGCTTGGCCGAATACAATTAAGCCAAATGCCGTTTGGCCAAATGGGTCGTTTGACCGAATACTTGAAAAGAGATTTTCTATTTTCGAACACTATTAGATTCCTGAGTAAGTCAAAGCTCTTGTTTCGGAATAATTTTGAGCTCCCACATCCCAAGCTTAGTAGAATGTTTCGATCCAGGAGTTTTTATTTTTTTTAAGTTGTATATTGCTTAAAACAGATATTTTATGTTTTCGATCGATTCATTATTCTCTTAACCATAAGATGTTCTTTTTAGTTATGTGACTGGCATGATTTTTAGCAGGACACCCTTTTAAACATGAGCAGTTTTTTGAAGTTTTGATGTTCTAATTATTTGTTGCAGCTTGTCATAAGTTTAAGGTAAACTAGAATTTATTTTTTTTGGAAATTTCTCCTTCATTTAATCATGAGCAGTTCTTTGAAATTTGATGCTCTAGTTATTTTGGCACAACAAATGCAGCTTGCTTTAAAATTTAGATAAATTTGATTTTAATATGTTCAGGAAATTCTTCCTTTTTCAAACACGAGTAGTTCTTTCGGCATACTACGCAAGGCTAGATGTGAGTAAGGAGCTTTTAGTGCTTAAGTAAAGACAATGTGCAATTTCAATTTCGTTTATCAATTTGGAGCCAATCAGTATTCGGCTAAATGACATTCGGTCAAATGGCCCGGGTCCTAGAAATATACATTGCAAGAAAATACTTACTCCAAAAAATTTGTTCCTTTATTCCCGTCATCGAAAAGTCCGTTAACACACTTCCAAATCTTGAATCAAGTTTAAACGAATAAACTTCCATTGCATAGCCTGCAAGCGGGCACCCTCCGAACATTTTCAACCACCGTAGTTGTGAATGGCGACAAAAGGATATGTCAATTTGTTCGCGTGACTGATATTTGAAGAAGCGATTAAAATTTGAGCCCATGCGATTCAGAACGATCGTGATGGCCACGAGGATGGCACTCAATTGTCGTGGGCTAGTGAGAAGCAATTAAATAAATCCCTACCCTTTTCGGAAAGCACCACGCAAGCCGTTGGGAATTGTAAGATTAACCCTTGCATGCATTTCCCCAGTTGATGTGCTACGAATTTGAAATCAAATGTATGTAGATGTGATTATCTACTGGAGTCACTGCCGGTGAAATTATTTGCAGATTGTTGATAAGAATAACCAAGCTGACATTGAGTTAACATGACACACACAAAAAACCATTGATATTTCAGGTAGAAGGAGACGTCACAAGCATTGGACAAAAAAGTAACAGAAGCAGATTTTATGGGTGTCACCAAACAAGTCATAAAGTATTCACCTTTTTGGCATAACCATTATAGATGGGCGATGATTTAAGACTTACAAAGCGGTAAATATTTTGCAAACTAATTTTGCTTCACATTACAAATCAAAGCCAGCGAACATAATGGGCGTTGTGTTATCCTCTTCATTATTAGCGAAACGACTTGAATTGTTCGTTCTAATCTGTTTATGGTTTTCCCTAGCTAAGGACACCGGAGGTACAGACATCTCTGGTAAATCAGTGTGATAACAGAATGCCGTTAATTGGTGCTTTCCGAACTCGACCTACTAACGAGTCTACAAAATGACAATGGTTTCCAGTTTTTTTTTATGCATGGGCGACCTATACGAGGAGCACCAAGT